TTATTCTTGGGAAAAGTATGTGTAGCTTGGGGGCTGGAAGTGTTCAACTTCCGGAATACATGCACAATGCAGCAGACAACAAAAATCTGGTTGATAACTTGTTCCCAATTCTTTAGCGCTATTCTTTTCAATTAAATTGCTCAACAGATCACGAAGTTCCAAAACTAGGTCTAGCAACTCAGACTTAGATTTAAAACACTGATGATTTCCTTACAAGATCAATAATCTAATAAAAATAGCTTATTTAATGTATGAAGTAAAATTAAAAATATAGAGGCATGTATAACAATGTGACTATTTACATTAAGCAACTTGCCTACACTTCAACAGGAGAGTACAACACACTTAAAATATTGTTCAATAAAAGCATAATCTTTGATCTGACGAATACTTGTAAAAAATAATCAAATTTAGTTGAATCTTACATTGCTTTTTCGCCTTTACTTTTTTGAACTCTTACTCCCACTGATTTCTTAAACAAGACAAAAGGCCTCTTTTAAACGGGTTATAATGTTATTACAGCTAACGTTAACATTTAAAACAGTACTTTAATAGTTATTAAAAGTTTCAAGTCATTACAATTATTTTGAGATGGCAATAACAGTTTGTTGTGATTTAAATTCATTTGCACTAAAATAAATTGTCTTTTGTTTCTACTTCCCTGTATTTTCTTAGAAAATGTTGACTCACCCAACATTGTTCTCCAATATTAATCCAAACCTAAATAATTTCGGTTCCCAGCATTTGGCTCTATGGGAACATCTTTTATTACATCTTCAACTGCTAAAAATGCTTACAAAAAAGGGGAAAGAATTTTTGAGAGTAATTATAAAGAAAATATGAATTTATCATCCTGGAAAGCCAGGGAGATTTCTTTCATTCTTTTTTTCTAGTTTCAAAGGAGTACAATTAAACTGCCTAGGTAATGCTCAAAGGTCGTCTTTTTTATTGTGCTTCGGCCGCTTCTCCGCTTGTTTGTAACCCATTTCCGCTTCCACGTCCCTCTTGCAGTCCCCACACCCTTTCCCCCAGGCCCCGTTCTTCAAGGTTTCCGTGGAGCGCTCCTCCGTGTGAAGAGGAAGCCTTAGTGTTCTCAAACCGCCTCCGCGTCCCCCACAGTGCCCGCCTGCAGTACAAAGACGAAGCACCCGGCGGCGGGGCGGGCGCACACCTGAGGAGGGGCCGGGGAGGAGGGGCACCTGCTCCCTGCCCCGCCCCCAGGCGGTGACTCATCGCTGAGCCCCGGCGACAGAGG